TTACCTTGTCTTTCAGTTCAAGAGATTATATAACATATAATTACATGTTAAAATTATACAATTGTATGTGATTTTGCTGCTTACCCAAAGAACGTTTGAGAAATCACTATTTTTCCTCACAATACGGACTTTCCCCACCTCCCACAAATAAAATAAATCTCCAGGTAGGATATGTTGTCATTTTAATAGCATCTTGTAGGATGCCAGTGGATACAGGGTTCGCTTGTGTATTTCTGCCCTTGAGATCAGGCCTGTATGTTCTGATATCCTCTTGTTTTCAAGCAGCATCTGTGAACATTCTCAGCTATCTGTCTGTTAGTGTCATTTACCGTAATGTGTTTAGAAAAGAGCAAGCACAGTAACCCTCATCCTGTTTTCAGTCCCACTTATTCAGGAAATGGAATCCAGAATCATGATCCCACTGAAGACCTCGCCCCTCCAGTAAAGCTGTAGAGTTTATATGTGCCTACATACATTTCTGTGACAAGTATTTGTCATAAATTAATTTTAATTGTTTATCAAGTGAAAAAAGAAACACCGAGGTTTAAGCTGCCGTCTGTAGCTTGTGAGAGACCTCTTTTCTTTAAAATTTACATAATCACAAGAAAGGCAACAATCACAGTTGGACTGACGAGACAGCACCCTGTCAGCCTCTCTGAAACATCCCCATGTTGTCCAGTGTACCTTGTAACACTGAGCCGCTCTTCCCACCCTCCCAGAACGGGTCCAGATGGAAATCTGAATCATCTCTAAAATAAGATTCCAACTATGAAAAAAATTAGCCATTTCTTTACTTAAAAAAAAATCTGCTTTATAATTACAGATTTTTAGACAAATTTCTTGTATCAGGAAGAAATACAAATTTTGTTATGTTTCTCGAGCAGTTTTTCTGAGTCTCTGAGGAGGAACAACTTAAAAGTGTACCCAATAACTGAAAATGTGTTAATTCACTCTCATTTGTAATCAGTCCACGTAGTAGACTGTGTTTCCCAAGCTGGGCAAGGTACATATAATCAGTAAATCAGTTTCACATCATGTATTGTGATGTTTCTATGTGAGAGACAAAAACAATGGCTTGAAACTTGTGTATCACATGTGATTTTGAAATGAACACCTTGAATAGCACTAATTTTTATTTGTGATATTTTTCTATAACAAAACAAGTAGCACTAGGAAAAGAGGCTTTATTTTGTAAATGGTCATTTGTGACCTCAGACACTCTCTGTTTAATATTTTAATAAGCTCACAGCAGATACTTCAAGATCACGAATGAGGGTGGTGCATGTTGATTCAAACTGGCATAAAGCTGCATACTTTTTGTCTAGCTGTTTGATTTCATTTTTTAATATAGTGTGCCAATTTTGTGACTGTTATCATGTGAAAGTCCTGCTGAAATCAACAATTACGTCTGCTCCACAATTAAGAATGTACATGTAAAGTGTGAATAAATCTCATATCCAATGTCAAACTTTTACATGTGAATGATTTTCTCCAAGAACATAGAAAAGTCAATAAAATCCTCTTAATTTTCACATACCACGTTTGGACTCATTTTTTAAATTTGTGGTGAGAATGACAAACATGTGCTATGAACGATCCTGTCACTCTTGCAAAAGAGCTTGTAACAAAGGATTGAAGGAAGTGAAGAAGTCAGCTGGCTTCTGGGGAAAATCCCTCCATCCGAACAAATTACCAGGCCCTGGGCAAGGCCATGCCTGGTGTGTGCTGAGGATCGCAGAAGACACCATGGTGGAAGCAGACACAAGGGAGACCGTGCTGGGACGCCAGCTCAGAGGTCACAGGGCTGGACCTGTTGAGTGTTGGAGGCCAGTAGAAAGATCCTAGTGGCTGGGCCCAGTGGCTTACACTGGTAATTCCAACACTGGGAGGCCGAGGCCAGAGGGTCCCTGAGTGCAGGAGTTCGAGACCAACCTGGGCAACATGAGTGAAACTCATCTCTACAAAAAATGGAAAAATTAGCTGGGCATAGTAGCATGCGCCTGTAGTCCCAGCTACTCAGGAGGCTGAGGGAGGAGGATTGCTTGAGCCCAGGAGGTTGAGGCTGTAATGAGCTGTGATCACGCCACTGCACTACATTATGGGCAACAGAGCTGGACCCTGTCTCAAAAAATAATATAAGGCCGGGCATAGTGGCTCACACCTGTAATCCCAGCACTTTGGGAGGCCAAGACTGGTAGATCACCTGAGGCCAGAAGTTTCAGACCAGCATAGCCAACACGACAAAACACAGTCTCTGCTAAAAACACAGAAATTAGCCGGGTGTGGCACACGTCTGTAATCCCAGCTACTCCGGAGGTTGGGGCAGGAGAATTGCTAAACCTGGGAGGCAGAGGTTGCAGTGAGCCAAGAATGTGCCACTGCACTCCAGCCTGGGCGACAGAGCGAGACTCCGTCTGCAAACACAAAATAATGAAAGACCTTGGCTTTTACTTTAAAGGGGGAGATGAGAGATGAGATCCGCTGGAGGTTTGAAAGCAGAGGACAGGCACGATCTGACTTACATTTTCAATAGTAAGTAGGCAGAATGGCCAGATTCTAAATATGTTTTGATTGCAGAGCTAACGTGAATCCCTGAACAAGTGATTGTGGAGTATGAGTGAAAGAGAAAAAGTGACTTCAGTTTTGGCCTGAACACCTGGAAGGCTGGGGAAGGTGGAACAGATCTGAGGGAATGAAGATCAGAAATTCTGCTATGCTCGTGGAGTTAGAGATGTCTCTGCGCAGATCCAGGTGGAGAAATCAGGTGGGTCTTGGTTATGAGTCTGGAATTAAGATAGCCTTCCGGCCTGGATATACACATTTGCAAATTGTCCACATAAGTTAAAGAGAGGCAGCCGGGCGTGGTGGCTCACGGCTGTAATCCCAGCACTTTGGGAGGCCGAGGTGGGAGGATCACTTGAGGTCAGGAGTTTAAAAACAGCCTGGCCAACATGGTGAAACCCCATCTCTACTAAAAATACAGAAATTAGATGGGCATGGTGGTGGGTGCCTGTAATCCCAGCTACTCAGGAGGCTGAGGCAGGAGAATCACTTCAACCGGGGAGGTGGAGGTTGCAGTGAGCCGAGATAATGCCACTATGCTCCAGGCTGAGTAACAGAGCAAGACTCCGTCTCAAACAAACAAACAAAAAAAATGGATGACTCAGCCCTCCTTCTGATAGGAGAAGGTCCAACTTCAAAGGAATTCCAATTTCTAAGGGATGTCAAGGCAATGTAAAATTATAAGAATTCACTATAGCCTGGGCATGGTGGCTGAAATCCCAGAGCTCTGGGAGGCTGAGGTGGGAGGCTTGTTTGAGGCCAGGAGTTCAAGATCAGCCTGGGCAACATAATAAGACCCCTGTCTACAAAAAATACAAAAATTAGCCGGATATGGTGGCACTTGCCTGTAGTCCCAGCTACTCGAGAAGCTGAGGCAGAAGGATCACTGAAGGCCAGGAGTTGGTGCCTGCAGTGAGCTATGATTGCACCACTGCACTCCAGCCTTGGAGACAGCGTGAGACCCTGTCTCTAAAAAGTAAGAATTCACTACAAGCCGCCCCTTGGTGCCTTGGCATCATACTTTGAACCTAAAGCGGCTGTAGTTCAAGTGGTGGAGATCTATTGTCAGCAACGGGAACGAGGCTGTGATGATTACGATCAGAGCTGCGTGGGGACGGATCGTGGTGGAAAGCCAGTGGGTGGTAAAAACACGGGGAGTGGACGGTCCTCTCGTCAGCAGGTTCAGGGGATGAATGATACAGAGTTGGTGCCTCCTCGGAAAAGTAATGAATTTCAGTAACCTGTATCACAGTTCCCTATAGGTATGGGAGTGCGAGGTGTGTATCTAAGCAGAGAGCGGAAGTATACCAGAATCACAGGCTAAGCAGTGAGTTCAGGAAGAAATGCAAATAATGTTCTGCGTCTGTTTGTGTCTTAGGAGAGAGGGTCCGTGGGCTCATCCATCCATGGGGAAACCTCCGTGGCTGGAGGGTTAGTGTAAGGGGTGAAGTCATCGCCAACGTCAAGGTCTTAGGTTGGGGTAATGCTGTCTGAGGTTGACGTCATCTCCAGTGGTGAGATTTGGGGCCAGGGCGGCGTCATCCGGGATGTGAGGCTGGAGCATCCCTTTCTTCTCTTTTCTTTTTCTCTTTCCTTTTCTCTTCTTAGAGTTTTGCTCTTTGTTGCCCAGGCTGGAGTGCAGCGGCATGATCTTGGCTCACTGCAACCTCCGCCCCCTAGGTTCAAGAGTTTCTCCTGCCTCAGCCTCCTGAGAAGCTGGGATTACAGGCATCCACCACCACACCCAGCTAAATTTCACCAAGTTGGTCAGACTGGACCCAAATTCCTGACTTTAGGTGATCTGTCTGCCATGGCCTCCCAGAGTGCTGGGATTGCAGGCATCAGCAACCACGCCCGGCCTGGAGTACCCTTATCAAGTGGGCACCCACCAGAGTGGATGTGGCCTCAGGATTTATCATTGGTTGAAGCACTGGTCTATTGGAGGGTTTGGGCCTCCAACCGTAAACCAGTAGCACCAGTACTCATGCCTGTAGGAATAAGACCAACAGTCGGCCGTGCATGGAGGCTCATGCCTGTAATCCAAATACTTGGGGAGGCTGAGGTGGGTGGATCACTTGAGGTCAGGAGTTTAAAACCAGCCTGGCCAACATGGTGAAACCCCATCTCTATTAGCCGGGCATGGTGGCACATGCCTGTAACCCCAGCTACTTGGGAGGCTGACGTGGGGGAATTGCTTGAACCCAGAAGGCAGAGGTTGCAGTGAGCCAAGATCACGCCACTGTACTTCAGCCTGGTGACAGAGTGAGATTCCATCTCAAAAAAAAAAAAAAAAAAAAGAAGAAAAGAGAAAGAGGAGGAAGTTTAACTCAGTGTCTCTGGGAAGCAGCCTCTCTCTGGGACAGCCCACACTGCAAGATAATCAGTTACTTTCCCTCCTTTTAGTTTTCTGTAAGTAAAATCTTCAGAATGGCTTGTGTTTCTAGGTGACCAAAACTATATATATATATATTTTTTTTTTTCTTCCCTTTCTTTGGACATTTACCTGACAGCTTCCGCTGATACCAAGTAGTTGTTTTGTTTTGTTTTTGAGACAGGGTCTTGCTTTGTCACTCAGACTGGAGTACAATGGCATGACCTCAGCTCACGGCAGCCTCCACCTTCTAGGCTCAGCGATCCTCCCTCCTCAGCCTCTTGAGTAGCTGGGACTACAGCGTATGCACCATGCCCAGCTAATTTTTAAATTTTCTGTAGACACAGGGTTTCACTATGTTGCCCAAGCTGGTCTCAAACTCCTGGGCTCAAGCAATCCTCCTGCCTGGGCCTCCCAAAGAGCTGAAATTATAGGCATTAGCCACGCACTTGGCCACCCATTGCTTTAATTTAGGGTCTTTAAGATGGACAGCACCCCTCCAATGATTAGGAGAGACCCAAGATGGAAATAAAGAGTTTACTACTAGGCTGGACATGGTGGCTGCTGCTTGTCCCAGCATTTTGGGAGGCTGAGGTGGGAGGATCGCTTGAGTCCAGGAGTTCAAAACCTCCCTGGGCAATTTCTGTAGACCCTGTGTCTACAAAAAATTTTTAAATTAGCCAGCATTGATGGGGTGTGTCTGTGATCCCAGCTACCTGAGAGGCTGAGGCAGGAGGATCACTTGAGCCACATCAAGGCTGCAATGGGCTGTGTTCATGCCACTGCACTCCAGCCTGGGTGGCAGAGTGGGACTCCGTCTCAAAAAAAAAAAGTTTATCACTTAAAGATCCTAGGGGTACATGACACTCCTGGAGGTCATACACAAGAGATCAGAAAGAGACTTGGGACCAGTGCCTCTAGTGGGACCCTGGGCATTACCCAAGCAGTTTTCCACGTGGAGATTTTAACTGGTGGGTGTGGTTGCTCACGCCTGCAATTCCAGCACTTTGGGAGGCCGGGGGCAGGTGGATCACCTGAAGTCAGGAGTTTGAAACCAGCATGGCAAACATGGTAAAACCCCCATCTTCACTAAAAATACAAAAATTAGCCGGATGTGGTGGTGGTCGCCTGAAGTCCCAGCTACTTGGGAGGCTGAGGTAGGAAAATCACTTGATCCTGGGAGACTGAGGCTGCAGTATGCTGAGACTGCACCACTGCACCCCAGCCTGGGCAAGAGAGTGAGACCCTGTCTCAAAAAACAAGCAAAAAATAAAGCAAGCAGTCACGAGTTCCACGAGGTCATGCAGCAACTGAATGGCGGTCACTGCGGCACATTGCACAGTCTGTGCGGGGTGTGAGGGTCAGCGGGGCCAGCTGAACAGGCTACATAAACTGTCCCACGGGAAGGTGGCCACCAGGGGTCAGTTGTGTAAGGCAGACTTCTGGACCCCCCACACTGAGGAACTGGGGGGTCAGGGAATAGAGCTGGGAACCGTGCCAAGAAGTGACTGAATTGGCTGGGTGCGGTGGCTCACGCCTATAATCCCAGTGCATTGGGAGGCCAAGGCAGGCTGATCGCCTGAGGTCAGGAATTTGAGACCAG